CCGGTTCTAGGGACCGAGCTCATGTCAAAAGAGTTAATGACCCATCCCGTTATATCCGAATATGCGTTAAGTCGGGGCGCGTAAAATATCGGATTTTACTGTAGTATTTAAGGTTTCTGTATCCTGCTAAAAAAATTGCAGAGGAGCCCGCCCTGATAAGCAATAAGGTAAACACTGACAAATACACAAATAAAAAAGTGTTTGTAGTTGTTTTAAATGTTAATTAGTGAAAATTAAAAAGTATAATTATTTAATATTATAAGTTTAGATAAATTAGGATGTTATTTTCATCAGTGACTGAAATATTTATGAATATTCCTACAATATAATCAGGAAAAAAGAAAACAAGTGGTTATTATATTAAAATATGAATTTGAATGTTCATTAAACACAAAGACTTTGCCTAGAAACATTCTAGATAATATTGACTACGTTTTCACATGTTCTATTCCTAATGCTAAAAGTTAATGAAGTTTTCACCTTGTATAAATACTGATGTTCCAAAGCCCTGATAAATTGGGAATCTTTTATATGTTTTTGAATATTAAAACATTTTTTGGCTAATTAGGTAGTGTGAACTAGCATGTTGTTGTATTGATAAACAACTGTTATAGTTTTTGCCTGGTGAGTGCCACACTGATTATCCACTTTATTAAGATTCCCTCCACACTAAGTACTATATTGGACCATCTTTTGCCATGATAATAGCCTAGATTTAGCATGGTATGTAATTGACAAGATGCAAGAAGATGTCCTTATTTGATTGTAACCAATTCATCAAGGAATATGGTCTGCATTTTATTCAAAGATAAATACAGAAGATTACAGTAGTGAATTTCAAAGATGATCAATCTGATTAAAATTTGGCAAACTCAAGATTAATGAAGTTTACTGAAGTTACTCTTATGCTTTTCAAACCAACTTTTGAAAATATGGGTCCAGAGCATTGTAGTATTATCATTTTTGAAGTCCATGGCTGTCAGAACAGAAATGCAACATTGTGGGATGGACATGATTGGAAACAATGTTTAGGTACACACTGGATGTTATATGCCATTCTAAAGGAATCAAAGGACTTGCTGTCTGTTATGATAATTTCCTCCACAACATCAAAAGCCTCTAGTAGCTTATACTTTTAGAATAAATAGGAAAAAAAATTAAATGTTAGTGGAAAGTAGGGTTTGTTGGTTATTCATAGAATTGCTACAAGAAGTATCCAAAATAAAATAAATGCTGCAATAAAAGGTACACAAACAAGTAAAGTGATATTAGTTGGATAGAATTTAAAAGTAGGGATCTATATAAATATAATAGTACTGTCTGTTGTATTCCATGTATCTACTTCGCAGGGTGTGGATGGATCTTCACCAAAATTGGTATGGAGGTTCATTAGGTCCATGCGGGGGTGTAAAAAATGTTTAGTTTTGAATTTTGTAGTTTTTATGGGAATTTTTTACCAGTACTTTGCCCATGTTGATGGATATTCAACAAATTTGGCATGAAGGTTTGTTGGGTCCATGCAGACATACATGCAAATTTGCAGTTTCACATTTTGTGTTTTGCAGTTTTTATTGGCATTTTTTACAATTACATACGTTTTAATTTTTTATTTCAAAAGGAAATATTTAAATAACTTCTCAGTCTTCACTTGCTTCTGTCACATGGCACTTGTTCTCTCCGTCTTGCACATATTGTGTTTTTTTCATCACCCTATATGATGTCCTGAGTTTAACATAAATTACATATTTATATTATTGTCTAATTTTATAGCCTCAAACATGTTACTGTTAAACTACACATACTATATTTATTTCAAATAATCAACTAATAACACAAAATAATACCATACACAAAGCATACAATATCCTATAACTATTATAATTTAATGGCTTTTTAATTAAGGTATAAGTGCTGTAAGATAATTCCATTAGCTGACTGAGAACTCGGCAATAAAAAGTTTGAATCTGTAGTCCAAATAATTTAAAAGCTGTTGTAAGAACAAGATAACATTATATTTCATTCAGTAAATTCAAACCTTGTCTTTCTATTGGTTATAATTAATAAATAACGTAATTGCAAACATCAAAGAAAATTATTGGCATTTTATGAAAGACAGGATGTGATAGGACAGTATGGCAAGTGGGTTTGACTTTCTGGTTTATATTGTCATAAACAAAGTAGTCGTTACAAGTTTGTGTAAAATAGATGAACCTGTCATTGTAGGGTTAAATAAATTGTTCAGTGAAAGCATAGTCTAATGCTTACTGCAACTTACAAAACTGTCCCATAGTTAGACATTGGTGGTTGGCAGTCACATTGAAAGGCATTTTGCCTTTGAGCTGATACCGTTGATGGACTCTTAGGAAAATTATCTTTGAAAGTTGGTAAAAAAAAGGATTTTATAACGTTATTACAAATTGGCATCAACTACATATGATGCTCCTTTGATAATTGGAGAGGTCCTTGCTTTTACCCTATTTTTAAGAGATTAATCATGATATGATTATATCATATTTATTGGACTCAAGCAACCACATACCACATCAATAGGGCTTGGCATTTAGTGGAATTTGCTAATTGATAAATTATCAGATTCATTAATCAATTCTGACATGATGAGGCTTGGATGGTTGGAATAATCAAAAATAATAAAATTGGATACACTAATTTTGATTATTTTTGTGACATCAATCAATATAATCATAATTTCATTATTATATGTGATACTAATTTTCGTAATCAGTTAAAAGAGGTAATTGCACAGCTCTAAACATCATAATAATTAATTTGCATATATACAAATAAGTGAAGTTCTATAAATGTGTGTGTGGGTTTAATAAAACAGTTAATATGTAAAGTTAACTGTAATCGAAAGTATCAGAACTTAACTAGCTTTAAAATATTTTTAGTGACATTTTCATTCTTCTTTGTATTTTTAGCTTTATTTGTTTCATGCTTTTGTATTAATGTCAAACTTCACATTTTCAGTTAGTTATGCACAATTATTTTTTATTACAACTAGCCAGACATTAATAATGTAGTTTATTAGTTCTAGATTAATATGCAAGAACATATCTGGGCTTAGTTTAGACATTAAGAATATACTGAACTAGCATGTAGAAGGTTTGAACTGATTTTTGTTTCGGTTATAATTTTATACTTTCATGCTATGCATGTATTCTAAGAAAGAAATCAAGGTTTCAAATGAATCTAAGTGAAAAAAAAAACAACATAAATTCTGGCAGCATTTTCAACTTCAAGTCGTAATAAATTATAAAAAATATTTTAAGAGAAATATGAAAGAATCGTATGTTTTAGGGCTTTTTCAGTCTCTGAATTTTAATTTATTTAGAAAATGTAAAAACTCTTAAGCTGTTACTTTAAAAAATTAAAATTAATTTTCCCCCTTAAAACATGCTTCATCTTTGACTAGTTGATTGGGAAGCAAAAACTGAGTTCAGTTTTCTTTTCTTTTTACTTTATTCATCATAATTACCTTGAATGTAATACCAAATTTGAACCATTACATTTATATGAATTTTTCAAATTACCATTACAACTTTTGTGAGATGTTAAGCAAAATTTGATTTGTTTGTTATGAAACTTTTTTTTTTTTTTCCTTAGATGAGTGTAGGTCAACGTGCCAAGTTGGTATGCTCACCTGACTTTGGTTATGGTGATATTGGACATCCAGGAATATATCCTTTAATGGTGCTACAAAAATTTTATTGATCATTTATTGTTTCTCACATACATGCAGTTCAGGTATATTGAATATATTATTTTAGCATTTACAGAAGCCTTTTCTGGACAGTTTAGTAATATCAGTATATCTGTTTGAGGAGATATCCTTTTAATAGTTGCAAGATTTATAACAAAAATGATATATTAGTGATTTCAGAAACTTTATTCGTATAAATGTATATTATAGTTAATATACATATACTTATTCAGTGGATTCAGGACTTGTTGCTGTTGTGGGGTGACTGTTTTGAAGCATTATTTTTGGGATGAGGTGAACCTTTTTGAAGAAGTGGTTTTTTTGAAGTGATTGTGGTAGGATATCTTCTGTGACGTCTGGATTTGTTGATTCAATCTCAACATGATAACTCAGAAGCTAGGGTGAAGACATTGCATCTAATTTTGAGATCCCTTGATGTAGATGGTCCTGGAGATAGCTTTGGACCACTGACTGGTGCCCACTTCTTTGAAGCCATTTTGAATATATCCAAGACTTTATGCTACTTCATAGTCTCACTTTTTTATTAAAAAAATGGTGGTAAATGTGTTGCAGTTACAATAACCTCTGATATCTTGTAGTGTTTGCTGTGTTAAACAAACATAAAAAATTCTTCAGTATGACCTCTTTCATCTTTCCATGCCACTTTTTCTCTCAATATTCTTTCTTTCTTATTCCAGTGTATGCTGGTATGGATTCTTTACTAAGTCGATGATGTTTTCATCATTGTAAACCTCTGTTATGGGGGCATCCTTATCACGATCTATCCAGTCTTCGAAATGTTCCTGTTCCACCTTTTCTAATTTCTTCATGTCTGGTACCTTAATTTATTTGACATACTCTAACAATTCTTTGCTTATGCCTTTCTTTTTTCTTCTTCCTGCCACTCCTGTTGTCTGAAGGCCAACAAATTTTTCCTCCTCTCCTTCTGAAACCTCCAACATGATTTTAGGCCAGATTTTCTGGAGTGTTGATTGCTTCACTTGCTCCCAAGCCTTTGCCACAGTACAAATGGCTTTCTGGATGGTGAAAACCTCCCTCCTAAATCATTCAGATGTACCCTCATGGTGGCACAGATATCTGCAAATCTTTCCTGTAATGGCATTTCATGCTTTGTATAATGCCTTGATCCATTGGTTGAATAAGAGAGTTGTATTAGGGGTCCAGGAACATTGTAAAAATATTTCTCTAGCATTAGGATGAGCAGTACTGATATCTAGAAAAAGAACTACCTTGGTATTCTGGACTTACCTATTTTTACAGTGATTTTTCCACTTCAGGTACAAAATAATGGGTAAACCATCTTTGAAATAACTGCTGATCTTGGTTGATTCCAGTACACAACATGAAGACAACCAACATTTTTCAAAGCCCTGGGAGATTTAGATTTCCCAGTAACAAAACAATCAGGGTAATGTGTCCCTGAAGTATTAGTATAGCACAACACAGTCAGTCATTCTCTAGCTTGTTTATGTCTAGGAGAACAACATTCTGCATCATAAGCCAAAGTTTTTTTTGGGTAACATCCTCTACCACAATCCTGTTTCACTGGCATTATAAATTTGATTCAATTCTAGTTGGTGCTTCTCCAGAAATTGTGCAAAGGTCTGAAACATAATTCTTAGTAGCAGGTTCATCTTCTGAGTTTTTCTCCCCTGCAATCTTTATCTTTCTTATTCCAGAGCATTCTTTAAACTTTCTCAGCAAACATTCCTCAAATTTACAAAGATCTTCAATTTTCATTTTCTGATGAAACTTTTGCTTTCTCCATTAACATAAAACCATGAGTAGGAATTCCCTTCAGTTATTTCTTTTTTATCATTCCCATACAGCTTGATCCACTTATTCATAGTTTATCTTACCATCATTAGCCTTGTTACTCCCCATCTGGGAATAGAATATATAGAGAGAAAATACTTTGCAGCCAGAATGTCTCTGGATGTTATCTTTCCTATTCCATATTCATCAAAGACTTGAGCTTGTGGAACACCATTTTCAACCTTTCTAATAATTTTAATTTTCTGCTCAATTGTAAGCACAGTCCTCTTCCTTTTGCACTAGATTGGCCTTGTACACTTGCTGATGCACTTGGATGCTTATTTCTTTCAGTCTTGATACGATTACTATGGCAGTATAACTGAGAGCAGGTTGTTGTGCTGAGGACTGAGTGCTTAGTCATGATTGGTCAAAGTGCATCATATTGGTGCCAAGCCACTGAGGTCGGTGGGGTTGGAAAAGGTTGGGTGTTTGGCAGATGGATAATTAGAAGTTTATTGTACCAACATTTCTTAGTTTAATGCTTAGTTTTATAAACATATTGAAGTACATCATTTTTTTTACAGTAATGTCTTTATAATAGGTATTGTTAACATTAAATCTTAATTCATTCTTAATCCATTGGTAAATTAAAATATGAGCTATAACTTTTTTTCTTAATAATCAGAAAGTTCTTGTCCTTTTGAGTGACATAATTGTATTTGATAAGTTTAAAGTATTCCATATATCATAAATGCTATTTTGACCATCTGTGCATAGCTACGTACAAATTAACAGGCCCCTCACGAGCCAGTGAGGAACATTTTTGTTGAGAAAAAAACCACCCAGCCCAGTTTTTCTTAATTTGAACTGAAATTTTTTGGACATTTTTATTGGCTAAAAAGAAGGCATTTCCTTCACTGTTTTAACATTAGGGCTGTGAAAAGTGATTTGAAATCCATCAGCGCATTACAAGCTTATTGGCCAAGTACAAGAAGCACGGAAGTCTCCAAATGACATATACAGGTATTTAGGAACCATTTAGAACCACCTTGGTAGATATTGTGCAGCAAGCTGAGTACAATATTATGCCTGTAGCTGCTTTCAAAGTGTTGCTGTCTGCTCATCCTACTGCTGACTATCGCAATGCTTTGACCTTCCCCACCAAATAGTAGGTGAAATCGTTGGTATCTCAATTGAAAGCTAAACATAAAAAGGTGATAGCAGAAGTATAAAAGGTTGGCAATTGCTTAATTAGTGATGCTGAGAATGTGGCTTTATTGATATATACTGAATTTACTCTCAGTGGGTAGACTTTAGTACTAGCTGGTATGGAGACTTAAGGATGTTGTATTTCACTTAAATATTTATCAATTAACAAACAAAAACTTGTCTCGAATAGTTACATCTAAAACCTCCCTCTTTGGGAGCTTCCAGATTGAACTTACTTTTAATATTCAACAAATTGTAATGTAAAAACACCCCTTGGCTCCTGAGGGACATGTTAATAATATTTTGTTCACCTTCTGTTTACTTAAGGGAAGTTTCAGGGTTTCACAACATAAAATGTACAATGTTTAGTATTTATAGGCTTGAAATAATAAAATTACTTTTGATTTAAATGTTTTATAGAATACTATACTGTTACATAAAATAATAGGTATTTTGTTGAAGTTGGTGACTAGTGTTTCATATGGTGTTTTTTTTCTTACAATGATAATGTCATTTTGAAGCTTGATAAAAATTCAAAAGTACCTTACAAACACTATTTACTAGCTTGTCATCAGTTATATAATGTATTTTTTTAATATGTTTGTTCAGTCATTTTGTTTTTGTATGCTGATACTTTCATGTACCAGCATGTGTGGATAGTTATTTGCAACTTTGTAATCAGTTATATGCAGTACAGGAACTTACTTAAGCTGCTTTTTTTCGGATGCGCATCTGTTCCATTGTTCTGTCAGAAAGCATTTATTCATTGAAACCCAAATTGTAATTTTTTTATGTTTAGACATATTTTTCTTTTTAAAAAAAGGTCCACTTCACCCAGCTGAGTACCTCTACATTTTTTTTGTTTGAGAATTTCACCCATGGTCATACATATATTTATAACAAATCTTTTTAAGTATCCATCATCCATTGTACATTTTATTAATACAAAGAAAGATATACCTTCTTTCTCCAACACACACACACACAAATGCAAGCATATTCTTATGTTGCAAGTCTAAAAATGTTTCACGTGGATATATTCACTATGTTAATATTTTGTGTACCTTTTGTTGAATTATCATTTAGCATCAAAATATAATTTTCTAATAAAAAAAAATCTTGCTGTCCTTTTCACTAATATAATTCTATTTGATAAATTTAAATAAAAGTGTATATTTAGAAATTATTAGATTATCTGTATTTATAGATGTCTCATTAAATTATTATGTACTTAAAGAATCCTAAGTTTTGTCTTTTGAAACTTAGATTTTATATCTTTAAGGAAAATATATTTCCTTAATCAGGCTTACTATCCCACCTAATGCAACCCTAATTTTTGATGTGGAGCTACTGCGACTGGAGTAAGGAAACTCTTGTGTGTTCAATGCTGCTGTGTTCAAGCCTTAGCAGACCTGCAGTGCTGTGTTTTATTCTGAATAAGTGTTTTTAAGATGAAAAGTTTTACCTGCAATTATCAAAAGCTGTGTTTCAACATAAAATAATACTTGGTGTTCAGGAACTTCTGTAGACAATAGTAGTATTAGTGGATTTGTTGCAAATGTTTTAATGGTGGTGACCTGTGTAGTGTTTTGAGCTCAATTTGATAGAAAAAAAAAATGGAAGTGTTTAATCTAAAAATCTAATCAATTTTCAGATCAGAGGACATCTGACATCCACATATAAAAAAAAAATATGTGAAAGGTAAAAAAACAGCCAATAATCATGACTTCCAAATCTAAAATAAAAAATAAAGTAATGGTATGTTGAAATTGAAAAACTTAATCAAAACTTTTATCTTATAATTTAAAGGAATGGGTTGTTTTTTAATTACAGATAAATTTTACAGTTCCTTTATCTGCTCAAAAATTATTTTGGTTATATGAATAGGTCCTTTATTTTCTAAGTATTTTGTTTATGATATAATTACATTGTGTGGTATGTATTTATCATACATTAGTAGTCCTTTTATTCCAAAGCTCATAATATCAAAATTTTATATTGAGAACACTTGTTCCTTATTAAAAACAAAGGGTGGATATATTTGTAGGTTTACGGCGTAATTCATAAACCTACATGTATATATTTGGCAGTATGTTTCATTAAAATATCTGCAACATACTTGAATAGTGATTATTAAATATATTTAGAATATGTTAAAAATAGTCATTTTTAAAACATTTTCCATATGTAGCTTTTTTCTTACATTTTGTAATGAAGTAAGGAATATTTCTATTAAACATGGATGATTTCCTTTTGACACAGTCAGCGCTATTGGCTGATAAAAGTACAAATTTTTAAAAATGGCATAAACAATATTTTCTCTAAGGGAGAAGATATTTATACCAAAATAAATAGACCTTCAAAAAAAAAAAGTCCAAATTTTTAAATGTTTTTTTGTTTGCTGCTGCATTAATGTGCTCACATCTAGCACAACACTTCCATATCTACATATGGATGTAGGAAAATTTACTTAATTTATAATCTCTCAGAATTTAGCTGGAATAATGCTGAATTACAGTAGGGAATGGCTGATGGTAATATATTTTTAAATAATTTTCTCCAGGGATGGGAGGCTTTAACTACATCTGTGTATGAAAACCCGTATTTGTGATAAACCTTTAAATAGGAAGACAGTTTACCTGCCTTTATCTAATTATTTTAAATATCTTGGATTTTTTAAGGATATAACTTTGTTAGTAAGTGTAATAGGTAAAATGTGCTTTTATGTTTCATTTTTACTCTTAAGATTTTGATAGTTTGTGAAGTGTAACTAATGGTAAACCATAATCTTATGAAAATTAAGAATTACTAGATTCAGAGAACTAAATAAATGTTTATAACAATACAAATCCTATTTTATTTTGTGAGATGAGACTGAAATCACTGATGTTTTTCTTTAAAAAAAAATGTATACTGAATTTATTTTGCTCTTAATCTAAGTAATGTGTTAAGATGCATGTAAACCAACCAAAAAAACTTACATTTTATGCTGCTGTGTTAATTACATCTTGTTATGGGTAAGAATCCATAAACACGAAGGTCAGTAGTAAATGCTGTCCATGTGCCCCACACAACATGCAACATACAAGTAGTCAAGAAATATCTCCATTTGGAAATGAGGCCAAAAGGAGATGGGTTCACCATGATAAGGCATCCAGTCATACCTCCCCCAAGCAGCTGTGAAATGAAATGGGTATTTAATATGAATAAGTCAAGTTGCAGGATGTACCAACTGATTTATGTATGACCAGACTGTTGAAAATGGTCCTGGGTAATTACATCTTTGTACATTAAATGGATTATAGAAAGTATAGAGAGAGAGGAGGGATGTGATTTGGGTATATCATCATTTTGATGGAGCCTTTTGCAATGGGAAGTAAACTACAGAGTTATCTTAAGATAGAGTATAACTGGATATGACAACATGGACTGTAATGACATTGTGAGGCTCCCAAATCATTTTAATGTAACCTCTATTACATGAAGTACCAAAAACAATACAAGCCATACACATGATAATGGAGCAAATCTTCAACTGACAGTATGACAAACAGGCAAAGGAACAAATAAATTATAAATAACTTACAAATACAAATATGCTTAACTGAAAACTCATTGGTGAACAGTCAATTTTATTTTTGATAGGGAGGCATTTGTCAGTGGTTTGATAATTGCTTGATGTGTCCGAGTTGTAATGGAATTCACTTGTGCTCTAACACAGCATGAAAAGTTAGAATAAACTGTATAACTCAAGAAAAAAAAATTATTTAGCTACATTTTTATCGGTTATTTTTCCTGTTTATCTGGTATAGCTGGTTTTTCAGTACCTCAAGATGGTAGTTGTGAGGAGAAGAAAACCACTGTACATTTTTATTTAAAGTCCAGAGATTCAGCGTTTGAATAGATTGTTTATTTTTGTTTAACTTTATTACAACGACCACTCATGTAGCCATCATCAGGTAATTATCGTCTATTGGGTGAAATACTGCGCGAGCATTTTGTTCCAATTTAGAAAACATGTAAGGTGATACCTGTGTTTTGATTTAAATTAGGTTTTAGTTCACGAATAATTAATGATTATTTTATTCTTCTCCTATTAATGTAGTTCTAATGGCATAATAAAGTTGCTAATTGGATGTTGATTTATTATGCTGTGTTCTTAAATTTGTGATAGGAGATTATGTTATTTGATCTTAATGTTTATGCTGCATCCCGTTTCGCCTAAAAAGCTATATCCCTGGACTTTTGTAGTGTATAATGGATTTCCTCTCCTCACAACAGTTTTCATCAAAACCAGTTATAGGCCTAGGCCTAAAATTAATTAAACTTCTGTTTCATGCTCACCTATAAATAGAAACTCGGTATCCCACACATCGAAAATCACATAAGAAAATAACTAAATACAAGAGTTCTACGTGAAAAAAGAAATAAATACAAGAGTTGTACATAAGAAAATAACTAAATAGTCCTACAGGTAGAACCTCAACAGAAAATTCTGTCATCATACAATACGTACTAAGTAATCAGTGTTCTGGGGTATCCGGAAGACTATATAATAAAGAAAATTATGATTCTCAACACTTACGCATACAAACAACTCTGCCAAACCTACCAACAACTAGCTCCCACAGTATCAATCGCCATCTCTAAGGGGCATCCACACAAAAGAAATGTCTTTAACCATAAACTACGACACAAAGACAAAAGATCTATTCACCAAAAAGAAAAAAGTATATAAAGTTGAAGTAAACCATCCGTAGCCTCAGATTTCTAAAAAAATGCAAACAGGAAGAGGTTATCGCAAAGTTTATAGAATTAAACCATGAACTACGAGATAAAAACATTCAATTCACAAAAAAAAGAGAAGATTCTAAGTGCAACAATTAGACAAAAATACAGATATTACTAATTTGAAAAAAGAATATTCAAGACAACATAACCTTCAAACCCACATTAAGACGACTCACGCATGCTCTTAGGAATTATCAACAGAAAATGGATAAACCAAAGAGATAAAATACAAACCAGACATACTGAAAAAATAGTTGAGTTAATGAAAAGAAGGAACCTGACAGGCAGTAAACACGACAGCAAAAAACAAACAAAGTCACAAATATAGTAATTTTATCAAAAACAATCCTAACACTAACGCAAGAAGAAATTTTAAACAAGAGTCTAAATTATGCAATAACACGAAAACGTTCTTACCTTAGAAATCAAGACCGAATAGAAGACTAGTCCAGCAAACAGACAAAGAAGAACTAAGACAAAAAAGAAGAGCAAATCATCTATCGAAATTAAAGAAACAAATATGAGCAATATAAGAACATGGACAATGAAACTACAAAGACTTTTCAAGGCAAGAATAACAGAATGTGGTTTCCCGAAATGACAATCAAAACCTAAGTGATTTCATCCATAAAATATCGAGTAGAATCGAAGGATATCTACTTAGAAATCATAAAAATTAAACAAAACGTCACGAAACGCCAAATATCAGCCCTAAAGGAATTGCGGAATAATTCACAAATTATCATAGTTAACGACTGACAAAGGTGGTAAAAACCATAATTATGGAAACATAATATTATAAAAACTTGTTTGAAAAACACCTAATGATAGAAAGAACTACCCAAAAATCTTAATGAATGTTATGGAAGACAATTGAATAGTCTACTTTTAAAGTTATAAAAAGAACAATGACATCACACAAGACATGTACAATAACTTAAGAGTCATCAATGCACGTACCCCTTGTTTGCTTGGTACTCCGAAAATTCACAAAAACACAGTTGACATAGTTGTGCGGAATGATTGAGACGAGGCATTAGAATTACTATTCAAGTGGTTGTAGTGCCCGTCTTCGAGATTACAGGTTCGGGGTTTCGAATCCTGGTATTACCACAAAAATGTCTGATATAACGCCGGGGAATTCACTGGTCGAAACATAATAAATACAGAATAAGAGTCCAAATAATAATAAAAATTAGTAACATAATTGACATCCGCCACATCCTTTCAACTTATGGCAGTTATAATCATGAGCTTGCACTATTCCTCAATTTTCTGATCAAACCATCAGATGACAACAATAAATATAAGGTTATAGGTGTTCTAAAATTCCGCAGCATTCTCAACAAACGTAACAACCATCACATAATGTACAGTTTTGACGTAGTCTTCATGTATACAATTATACGCAAAGATGAAGCAACAAACCTAGTTCTAGAAATGATATCAAAAAATTACAACTTGAGCTTGTAAATTTTGAAACTCATATTTATCTGGAATCAATATCTGATACATTTATTAACAAATGTAATTTACATAAACATACTGTCACTAGAACCTTAACCAAATATAAAAATAAACCGAATAACAGAAGAAGAGAAAGGGAAAATACCATAAACTCCAAGAAGGAAACAAAATTCACAAACTTAGACACATTAATAAATATAATAAACATTTGGAATCATGTGTCGAAAAATACATTATAAACAGCAAAGTTATTTTTATTTAAAAACTGAATACTAAAATCAAAGATCATCTAAGGAAAATTTATTCCGACAACTTCAACGACAGAAGTATCTAGAAGTATTGATGCGATAGCTGATAATGAGAGATAACTGAACTTCCAAGTATTTTTTTTCTTAATTTTGTTCTCCATCTATTGAGAGATTACTGAACTTCCAAGTATATATTTATAATTTTTTTTCTCTATTTATTGAGAGATAACTGAACTTCCAAGTATTTTTTCTCCATCTATTGAGAGATAACTGAACTTACAAGTATTTTCTCCCTCTATTGAGATATAACTAAACTTCCAAGTATTTTTCTCCATCTATTGATAGATAACTGAACCTCCAAGTATTTTTCTTAATTCTTTTCTCCATCTATTGATAGATAACAAAATTTCTAAGTATTTTTCTTAATTTTTTTTCTCAATGTATTGAGAGATAACTGAACTTCAAAGTATTTTCCTTATTATTTGTTTCTACATCTATTGAGAGATTAGTGAACTTCCAAGTATTTTTCTCTTTATTTTTTCTCCATTTATTGAGAGATAACCAAACCTTCAAGTATTTTTCCTAATTATTTGTTTCATTATGTATTCAGATAACTGAACTTCAATATATTTTTCTCCATCTATTGAGAGGTAACCAAACCTTCAAGTATTTTTCCTAATTATTTGTTTCATTATATATTCATATAACTGAACTTCCATATATTTTTCTCCATCTATTGAGAGATAACTGAATATTCAAGTATTT